CAATAAAAGTTTTAGATTTCGTATACTGTATACTTTATATGTATATCGTACATTCTCATTGAAACGTTGACTGTCACAGTAAAAAAAACCGTACGTAGCCAGACACATTCTATTTCGTTTTTTAAGTCATAAATCGTTAAAAATATATGCGTTTGATTAATAAAGGTTGTTGGTATTGTTTGAAATTATGCTGCGATATTAATTTTACGCAAAAATTTTTGTGCAGTCAAAGTGTTAATAAAACTGGTATCTGCATTTTCATAATTAAAAATGGTGTAAGTAATAAGAACGTATTGCATTAAAAAACGTTTTATTTCTTTTTACGGTAAAAATTCATTGAATTTTAGAAATTTATTTATTAAGTTATTTTGCTCTTATTTTACCTATAAATAATGTTTAGTAACGAATATGTAGTTACGACATTTTTCTTTATCAATCGAAGTGATTTCGTTATGAATGGTTAATTGCATTACACGAGAAAGTAACAGGTATGTATATATATTATTTGTCAAAAAGGTTCCCAGCTTGGGGTCTTGAATATGTTACAATAGTCGCTTTTTCGAAACGTGTTAGTGTTTTACCAATTTCAGTTTTTATCACAGATAAAAGTATTTGTTATTTAATGGTATGCGAATATGAAGACAGATTATGTTCTTTTTTTAATTATGCTCTGATTGTACACGAAAGATACGTAATAGAAAGCGGAAGAGGAAAATTGGTTTTAGCAGGAAAAATAAAATGACGACGATGTAATGAAACGAAAGATTGGAAGTCGCATTTATGTCTTGTAGAATTATTAAATTCTGTAATATTTACAATTTTAACGTAATAATTAAATGTCTATAGAAGTTCTATTAAAATTTTAAATACGGCATTGAGAGTGTACAATAGCTAAATATGAAAGACCAAAGTTAGTCCGTATAATGGTAAGTATATAACATAATACGTTGTATTATTAATAAGAACGAAAGGTAGAATACTTACTCTTTTCCTTTTCGTTTAAAACAAAAATAAGGCAATACGTTTTTTGACCTTTTTACTAATATCCTTCGAAATGTATGCTCAAAGACAAAAATTATTTCAGAATTAGATATGTGAATATCGTATTGCAATTTCGGGAAAATTATTTTCTTTTAACTCTATATTGAATTGAAATTTTTATTTTTACATTTTGCTTAATCATAGGAACTGGCCCTTTCTTTTTTTTTTAATTTAAGAATTGCAAATTCTCTGTTTTCTCCAACGGTTTCGTTTTAATATCCACTCGCAGCGACAAACCGCAAGTTCAGTTAATCGATACGAGTGTCCTATATGTTTAATTTTGTAAACTAAGTTCCTGTCTGGACGTGTATTAAACTATTGAATGAAGCGAACAACACACACAACACACACTTCCGGCATTGAAAAAGACTATACACCCTATTGTCATGATTTTCATCATAAACGTCCATAGGACGCATTGTGAATGTACGTATTTCAAGGATTCGTAAAGCAATAGATGGACAACAATGACGTCGCAAATAACAGTATTTGGAAAAACGGAACGGCCATTCAGGTCCACGACGGAGTTCGCAGAAATCGTAGTCGTTACCCTTTTAGTTGAAGGATAAACATTTTTTATGGGACAGGTAATTTTGCAAGGTTTTGTGAACGTTGCGTTGGTTTTGTCTGATTAAAGCAATGTGAGTCAAGATTAAAATTTTTTCATTATCCAATTTTATCAACACTTACATGAGAAGTTCATTTATTACAGTCTAATGTAACTTGAAGTTCACCTATGTTCTTTTCCCTTATTGTTAATGTAAATTTGTAATTAATTGTGTTGACACTGAAACCTTTTTTTACGAAAATGAATACAGTGGTATATTTAGGTCACGTCACAGGTGAAATAATTTTTAACTTTATCACTTTAATTGCGATTGTATAATGTTCTTCGTTAACAAAACAAACTATGGAGTTGATTTTGTTATCTCTTATTTGAGATATTTAAGTGAGTGTCGAGGCAAATAAAATTTCTTATTTTATAATTACATTTACTACTAACTAAATAATATGATTTATTTCTAGCATGTATTCGAATTTAGAATATCCTTGTCTTTGGTATGTAGTTCTTTAATTTTCATATTTAAACATTTGTAGAGAAACAAAAGATGGAAAACACTTTTTCGATCTTTAATAGTCTGTCAATATATGTATACGATTATCATACTGTTCACATTCAAATCTATTAACTGTTTAACATCTCCAAATGAAATGGCAGAGGTACAGTTATTATTTGAGTATGTGACATTTATTTATAATTCCTGCCTTTTTACCTATGGTATTCTGTGCTAGAACTCCTAAAAAAATATCGAAACAACCATTTGTAGAATCAGAATTAATTGTGATTAGTAAAATATTTGAGCTTGAATTTGTCTAATACCGAAATTCGTAATTCGATAAAAAAATTTGACGAACATTATGAATTCGATTTTGTGGTATCTTCCTACAGCTCCATTTTGTATTATTCAAAAATTAATCAAAGCTCCCAGCGTCAATGGAATAATTATTTTCAATTATTCTATTAGCACACTGAGTTCACCAAAAAGAAAGAAAGATACCATTACTTTTTAATTGCATGAACTCCATTTACAATTCCGCATCCTAATCTAGCCACCAATGTGAATTTACATAAACGTACTTTCACAACTACATTAACATTTCCAGAAATTCGACGAGCAACTCCAAAATATTGCAACAGTGACGTGAACAATTCAGCCACGGTGAATTGCAGTTCTCTTTTAAAAAAATACCGTATGAAATGAAAGTACCCATTACTCCCGTTTGCAGTTCCAGCAATCGTATAATCAATTATGCAAAGTATTGAATAATGGAATGGCAAAAAAGGGCAAGTTCATTATTCCAATAAAGAGTTTCGAATAACGAGTAAAAAATAAGAAAAGTACTTCACCATTTTAAACCGTTTAAACGTGAAATTTCCAACTTTTAATAATTATTTAATTTCTATAACTGTTTGAAAGGTCAGGACAGCGCTCTTACAAGAGAACATCCCCAGAACGAAAAAATTTTGTTCATTTCAGCTGACATGCACTTTTTTATAATTATAGTGCGATGTTAAAATATTGTTATAACGATATTCTAATAATTCAAAGAAAAATTAAAAATTCTTGGAGAGTGAAGATTTTTGTTAACACTACAACTATCGTCGATGAACTGTATATATCTATTTCTATTGGTTTGATGAAACATGCCAAACTTTTGAAAATATACAAATTTGTAAAAGATCTGAGAAAACGCATTGTTGTAGCATTTAAATTATTGTTATACGAGTGTATTATTTAGTCATGTTGACTGCTTTTGTAGTCCTAGTGTTAAAAACCGCAAATAATACATTTTTTATGCACTCATATAATTTTACGTCAGAAACTGAGCAAATTTTGTTTCAAACATTCTTCGATACGACGATCAGTGTACACGCAATCGTAAAAAGTGTATCCCGAGAGGCGAACTTTGAGGGGCTATTTCACCCCTTTAAAAACTTTCTAAAAACAAAAACAAAAAAATACGCGTTTAATAGTTTTTAATTCACAAATTCATACCAGTTTGAACAAAACAAAAATTTTCGCTCTGGACGAGTTCCCTTGTTAGATACAGTAAATCCTCGATGAGTGTCCAAAGGCCCTTCGGCACTGACATGGAGAGATCGCCAGGTGTAACGCTGACTTTTTAATGAGGTTCAGCACAGTGATAGAGTCAATGATATTTCTTTCAGTCGCATATGGCCATTAGTTTATGAAATATGTAATGTTCAGTGCCGATGAGTCTTCGACCATTTATCTTCACTACATGTCATTATTCGAATAAAATTCTGCCCAACTCCTATCTAGATATAGTCATTTCTAGAAGCATCGAAGCTCGAAATAAAGAAAACTTCACGAAAGCCATCGATTGTTAACCGACTGGTCGTCATCGTCATCGTCCAAGAGAACAAGGTTGCCCGGCGAGCGTATCGTCGCGAAATGGCTGGTGGTGCACGTACGAAAACGTCGTCGCGTCGCCGCGTTGCGCGGGAGGAGCGTCGAGGGGCCGCGCGTCGATGCGCGCGACTAGACGGCGTCGACTCGTCGTCGTCGCTTTGACGTCGCGGTCGTCGAGGCAAGTTGAGAGCGGTCTCGAAACGTGTACGGGTTACGTGGGTGCTTTTTCTCCCTGTCATCGTCCGTTACTGGTGCGCACCGTTTCGAGCAAACCTTGTTTCCCTCTGGCCTGGTGGAAGAGAGCAGCTAGTTCCCGCGAGTCTCGACAGATATTTCGCAGCCGTATGGCGTGTACGAGACGAGAAACCGAGGGACCGTGCAGTCCGCTCTCGTGAGTGGGTAACAACAGCGCGGGGTGGAGTAGCGCCGTCGTTGCGCTCGAACTGGGCGCCCGAGACTACGGGAGGTCGCGAGGCGACGCGCACCGTCCCGACGTCGCTGACGGAGGCAATGATACCGGATCACGATACCGCAGTGCCCTGGTCATTCCACTGGACCACCTAAAAGAGAATGTAACAAAAAATTCCTCCAGCGTGAAAGTGTCAGGAAACGTGGACTATTGGGACCCAATCGACAACCATGTCAACCTGCATGACGAACAAACTAAAGAAATTGTGTACACAGTTCAACGGAAAGTTTCGCGTAACTTGACCTAACTGTTCCCCGTTTACGTATAGTTTTACAGTGCAGTTCGAGAGTAACAAGAACGAAAAAATTGTCCATAGTTGGTCACGAAGAGGATCAGAAAGAGGACAACAACACGGGGAAGGGAAATCCTAACTCGGAGGGATTATCCCGCGGGTTTACGGTGCGCGCGGGGCTCTCCCGTGGTTAAGCCCCCAGCTGGCCCCGTGCGTGACACCCGGCACTGGACGTTCAGTGGTGACGAAAGGGGCTGATGTCAGTGCGGCCACTCGGCGCCCGCTCCGTGGGCTCGGATGCGCGAACGCGACACCCGCATCGCCTGTCGTATCTGACCGCGAGTGTGAAGCTCCCCTACGTGTAGGCAAGGAGTCGTCGCCGGGGACACGGGAGTAGAAGGCAGGCGTATGACGACGGGTGATATGATCAGCCGCCGTCGCGACATAGTGCGGACTGGTGTGACTGGGGTTATTACGATCGAACGTGCGACCACCACGGTGGTTTTGTGTCACGACACGTCGTCGACGTGTGTGCCGCCGGCGGTACGTCGCGGTCGCCGCTCGGTCCATCTCGGGGGCGGCAGCAGCCACAGCAGCAGTATCATCAGCTTCGGGAATAATGCGCGTTAGGCACGTTGTTACACGACGACGACGACGCGGACGACGGTGCGACGACGACGCGAGGGACCCGAGCAGCAGCAACGAGGAACCGCCGCGGGTGCAGCTGCAACAGCTACGCAATTATGTACGCGTACGGTTTCGAGATCACGTAGTGGCGGCTGCTGCCGTGTAATTATGCTGTCATCGACGACGACCACGACCGCGACGACGAAGACGAAGACGAAGACGAAGCGCGGCGCGCCCTGTGTAGCTTCACGGTGAAATTCTGGCGTGAGCGGTGCCGCGGCGGAACGGGGAACATGGCGTCGGTCTCGGCTGAGACTCCAGCCAGCCACGGGCACAGCTTCAGCAAGAAGACGTTTCACAAGCCGACGTACTGCCATAGCTGCACCGACATGCTGTGGGGCCTCATACAGCAGGGGTACATCTGCGAAGGTAGGCAGACTATATCCCGCACCCCACCCCTCTACGGTTTTCGCTGGTACACCAGTTTATCAATGCTACGCTACCCTGGCGAGCGGGGGGATTATAAAGCTACTTCGGAGGGTGGCAGAGATAATTGGCAGGTAAAGACGTGCATCCCACGATTACGGTATCGTTATCGTCAATTGAACGGTGTAGTCGCGTTAGGGATAACGTTCGGGTAGTCGCGAGTTAGGTACGATGGTCTGGGTTCACCCTAGACCTGCGCATTGATCCTTGTGTATTCTGTACATGATTGAGCTTGTTGGGGTATGAATCTTGGAGTCCTGTGGGATCCTTTTTTGGGGGGGGGGGGAGTGAAATTTATGGATACTGTTGAGGAAATAATTTCGATGAATGTAAAAGTAGGTACACGAGTCCTCCCTCGGTAATCCTAGGAACGGCGAGCTAGTTTTGTCGGAAAAACCGCAAGGCTCCGAGGACCGATCGATATGAGCGCGGTTCGGTAACGAAATCGAATACGCGGCGCGTTGCCACCGGAGTGTACACGCTCGCGTCCCGCCTTTTCACGGACTCCGAAACCTTGGTCTGGCCGTGCAAAGTTGAAGCTGGCTGACCTCCAGGAATGATGAATGGCAAGTGCCCATTCACCGTGTGTGTGTGTGTGTGTGTGTATGCAGAGGGGTGGGTCACGTTCATGCAGAAGCCGCTAAGTGCTAATTCCTTCTGACCCCGATAAAACGTCCAGTAGAGAATTCATTCTGAAATTCGCTCTTGCCAGGCTTGGACGTCTATGAAACCAGTCTAAACATTCGACGGGGGGATCCCCTGGGAGTTCGCGAGGATTCCAAAAAAAAAAAAAATAACGAAAGGGAAGCCTGTGTCTCGCGTGACTTGGCGCCAACCAGTCTCAGAAACATCGCCTTTTCGTTGCGTGCAGCTGCACTCCGCGTACACGCGACTGTTGGTTACGTTCTTTCCGGGGATGGTATAGAAAAATTAGGTCAATCTACATTTTCAATTATTCTCACTCGACTACTAAAGACCATCTGAATAAGTTGGATCAGCTGCAATAGAATCTTCCATTTAACATCGATTTATTTATCATCGAATCTAAACTGAATTCCAATTTCATAAAATCTCTCGGTTCCGATAATCATCGAGCGAATCTCCCCCCCCCCCACGATTAGATATTCATAGACGGAAACCTTCTCTCAATCACTCCTTGTGCTCGTGAAGAAGATTCCTCGTTGGTCCAAACCCACCATCTTTGGACTTCGATAACGGGGCGCCACATTTCCCACCCCTCGTTCCCGATTTGCGCACACTCCTCGTTCTCGAGAGTGTTTACCCCCCCGTGTCGCGAGCACACGGGTCGAATAGGAAGAAGACAATACATACCGGAGAACACAAGCCGTGTGTCCCCATTGTCAGCTCTCTTACCTGTTGGTCGTTCTTAAAGGCACACCGGGGGTTGAACGGTGTCCAAAAGGGTGTCTCGGAACTAGAGGAGATGGTAGCTGGATGTACCAGCGGACTCAACAGTTGAGGGAAATCGAGCTGCTGCGTGGTGATATCAGGTGGCTAGGAGGCGAGGGCGCGCGCATCGAGCCTGTTCACGAGCATTGATCGCCGAAGGGGTAGGGAAGGAGGTGGTGGTGGTGATGGTGGTGGTGTGTGTGCGTGTGTATGGGGTGGCTGCTTGATTCTGGAGAGAGCAAGAGAAGAAGGATGGAGTACACGGCGAGAGGGTTAGCTTGGGCAGCAGAGCAAGGGGGGATGGGGTGTGTAAGGGACAAAGAGCCTCGTTGACGAGCGGAGGCCGTAAAGGATAAGCATCCGCGAACACTTTGGAACTTTGTATTGTTTAATCGAACAATCGGCTCGATTCATGAGACCTCTCGGGCTGCTTACGGAATTCCGAGCGTCTGGGGTTGACCGGATGGGACTACTTCCAGGTCGCTGGTGAAGATTTGAAATTTTACGGATCGACTGTCGACGTACACTAGGGCGGTGTTTATTTAATGAAAAATTAATTTTTTTGCGATTTTTTCACAGGACATACTGTCGATGTGTTCATCCTTATCAGTACATAATATGGTATTTTAAAAAAATCAGAAAAACGGTGTTACTGTAACTACTAGTTTGTTATTTATCGTGAACAAACACATTGTTTATAAAAAAATATTTTGAAAATTGTTTTAAACAGACTTAAATGACTATTGATTCTTGATTATATGAAATCAAATTTTTTGTACAAGATACCAAAAAGATGCAGCGAGTGGGTTAAATTCTCTTAAAGTTCTTAACTTCTTCGTTCCCACTGTTGCCATATAGCTACATATTCTAAATTACGATGTAAAATATCAGTATCATGCATTTTTTCATATATGTGAGTCCCTATATAAAAGTTTCTTCAAGTCTTGTATAGCTGGTATGGCACAATTTTGAATGTGCATTTAAAAGTTTACCGATAAAATAAAATACCATTGGTCGTTTATCTCATTCAATTGATGAAATTCAAGTGATGAGCATGCTTGAATACAAAAGAAACTTACAGAACAGTAATTTCTTTCAAGTATGTTAACAGAGTTATTGATCGAAGGTAAGAGAAATTGGATTTTATTATAAATAATAACATCATAATGAAAAATATTGTAACTCTGATAAAAGTAAAAAAAAAAAACAGTTGTCAAATGACAACGAATATAAAATGGCATTAGACAATTTAAAAATGTTAAAATGTACTTGTGAATTATTTATGTCATCTGGTATACACAATAAGATATTTCTTTAGCCATTTTTAAATAATTTGGGAATTAAAGGGTTAATTCAGCAACCCAAATACGCAATAAACGCATGAAATCCATCCATTGATAAATATCGAATCTTAACTGTTCATCAGTTTTCCGAGCAAATCCAGTATTTTCGAAAGCATTCAGACTCGTCGATCCGGAACATTTAGATCGCGCGCGCGTGCAAAAGCATATTGAAATGTTACTGTTTTCGATACCTACGTCTGCACACCCGATCCCATCGAGCATTCCCGGATTCCTAGAACAAGCGTGTGTAACATCAAAAAGCGGCCGCTCTGTTCCGCGGAAAAGCGAGCCATTCTGCGCGTCGATCACACTGGGATCCGCTTCCATCGGATCTTGTTTTCCTAGATGCTTTCGCCCCTCCCCCTTCCATCTGCCCTTTTCGCCGCTGTCTGTCCGGGGGACGACAAAAAGTTGACTGACCATGTGCTTGTTGAGTAAATCCGCAAACAGACCCGGCCGAACCTCGTTTCCCAGATGCGTTGCCACGGTGGTTTCACGAATATTCGAAATATCTCTAGGCTCGAATATCTTAATTTTAGCATTTCGCGGGATATCGGGCCACGATCGATCCGAGACGACGGATCCCCGATAGATCCTGGGATCGCTGGTGCAATCCGATCCGCCTGTTGTTTCTTCGTGTTCTTAAACCATTCTAATACTGTGGAACCCCGATTATCCCAACTAAAATGGGTAAAGGTTTGTTTGGATAATTGGTCTAGGAGATCTACAATTTTAGGTATTGATAAAAATAGATGAAACAATTGTCATGTTTGGTTCACTCGTTCTGTGTTTCGATAATCTGTAGGGTGGATGTACCAATGAATGAACATTATGTATGAAAACGAGTAAATCAAGTTGTTAAAGTAAGCAAGTAATTAAATAATGATTTCTTTCAATTCCTTGTTTCATATTCAAAGAATTTTCCCGCCATTGGTTAGCAAATATATTCACTTGTTAATGTTCATTCACTGGTGAAGTTTGTATTTTTTATTTTTTATTTAATTGCATTTTTTCAAATTGAAGTCTGTTCGTTAGAAAAAGGTATAGATATTACAAAATTAAATTTTCATTTATTAATATATGTTATTGTCATTTAAAATTCGACTTTATAGTTATAATATCTCGTAAGTCGTAAGTGTTCATTCATTGGTGCTTTTACCCGGTTTGGGATTTTCCGATATAATCGACGTTCTCTTCAATTACTCGTAAATTATTGGTTGTATAAAAAAATATTTTAAACAAAAGTTGCATAGTTTCAACGGGGACATATAATGCAATAATAGGTTTTTTACTATGTAATATTTTTATCGAGATATAACGGTCATCTTTGGTTTTTTAAATGGAAAGCCCAATATCTCATCCCGAATCTCGATGCTGCATAAACACATGTTGGTGATATTCTTCCGATTAAAATGAGACCATACATGATATACATAAATTGGACCATATTTCTTTATTAGTATTAATAATTAATATTAATAAATGTTAATAAACACCAATCAATATTAATAAATATCAATAATTAAGGTGGTCACGTTAGGTGAACTACCCGTTATATGAAGTAGCTAATTGTTTTAGTTAATGAAACAGGACAGTTTAAAGAATTTGGTTGAACATTGAATAACGTAGATAGGTTAATAGGGCATGTGTATGTAGAATGTTTTATAATTAGACTGTGAACTTTATACATTTATAGAATACGGGATTGTTTGAAATTTAGTATGGCTAGAAGTTTGATGAAGTCGAGGAACTAATCGTTTTATTTGGAAGTTGATAGAACGTTTGATAGTGGATATGAGTTTTTATAAATTAACCAATAAAATTCTATATTTAAATAAATATACGCTGTCCATTTAGAATGTACAGGCATGCCTTAAGATAATTAATCACAAGAAAGGAATTAAAAGAATGTGTACATTTTTCTTACTTGACTTATTTCCCGAATTTGCACGTGTTTTGTGTGACGACACGATGTTTCAACTTCCTCAACTATTCTCATTAAAATTGTTATTTTTTTTCACTTATTCACTGTCATCAAGTTATTATATTACTGTTGCGACGTTTGAAGCCACGAAGCTGGCTTCGCGTTATAACTGAAGATGCCTCCGACTTCGAGAATCGATTGTAGATCGGTCAGTCGTTTCGCTGACAACCGCCAGTATATAAAAGAAGAGAGTTTCTGACATGACA